TTCATGTAGTTAAAATCAATTAAAACCTTAAAGTTCAAAGAAATTGTAAAATAGGTCGAATTGATGTCCGGCGAGCTGAATGCATTCTTAATAGTTCATCTATTAGCCCATGAATGAATTGTGCACATTCCTTCGTCAATCTGTAAATTTGAATTTCTGATGAAATACAACTTCTGACATAAATTCGAATGGGTTATCTCTTTACCTAAGTATCTGTCTTTCAACATTTTTTACCTCAAATTCTGTCAGTTCACGTATACGATCCATTTTTAAATATATATGGGACCAAAATGATTCAAAACCAATACTCAAAATTTTAAAATGGTATTTTTGTATGGATTTTTTGAGAAAACCTCAAGGTGACCCCTCTAAGTCACCAAAATTTTCAAAATTTCCTGATTCACTCGACCTTCTTTATAACCCGAATATATTTTTTGAAAAGTTTTAGGACTGTCTTGACAGTTAGGTAATTATATGGAATTTTCTCGATGAGTGTGAGTGTAAGTATCGATTCTGAAGTTACTTTTTCATGAAAATATTTAGTAACCGTTTGAAAATCTGGGCAGAAGCCAACAGTGTCATTGACGAATTCCAAGCAGAATGTAGACATTGGTTTTCCACCATTGATAACGTAATTAACTAACAAACAATAGTGCAATAATACTTATCTAAAATATGACGTGTATTATGTATTTTTATCGACCTCATGAAAGAAAGCCTTCAAAATTACATTCATGCTAAGCTATGGAACAGCTTAATACATAAGGATATCAAGAAATACAGCAAGGTATTATTATGATTCAAACAATCGCATGTTTTTGTTAATGGCAATATATATAACGGATTTCTTTCCATGTGAAATTTGTACAAAGGAGGGTTGTATCAGATCTAAAATTATATTCGCACTTTATGTGTATAAACGATTTAGTAACTTATCTGCAACGAAAATGTGTTTTTAGTATTTCAATTTCAAACGACATTCCTGACATATTGCCTTGATATTTGCAGACGATATGTCCTCGGTTGCTCAAACTAAAAAGTCAGATGAAAGTAATAGGTGAGTTTAGTAAACAGACTGGGATGAAACCCAATCTAAAATATTAATATTAAGGAAAAGTGAACACTTAAGACAATATGAAAAATTGGCAAATCAATGAAGAGAAATTGAGATTGTTTCGTGGTACAAGCATTCAAGTATTCTTTTGAAGTTATGTTGGACTAAAACCCAAGAAATCCTAACCCTGGAAATGTTGGCTTTACAAGCAAAGAAAGCGATAAACGCAATATTTTGTTTCATAGGTATATCACAAAGAACAATGCAAGCTATGTGAATCAATTAGTAAAGGTGGCTGACACCCACTGTCTGTGACGTATTTGACAAGGTGAATTGAGTATTAGACCAAATTAGTATGTATATCAACAGAAAGATACCCTTAAAAATGTAATGTTATGTTAAAACATTAAAACGAGGTAGCGTATGGCTCACTGGTAACACATGGTAGCACGCTCTTTATAAATACGATTTGGCTGTATTTATATTGCAAACGAAGTAAGCAATCAAGCGATATTTCTGGAAAAAATTATACAGATACTAAAGGAGTGTACATATCTGTGTATTTTAATAAGATTGTGAGATACAAACGGTATAAAAGTATTATTAATTTCCATTTCCATTATCTTATTTACAAAAGCGCATTCTGGGTAATTAACACTGGCACGGTTCGAACCTACAGTGGTTAGATGCAAGTGGTTTGAGGTTAAATAACCACTCTGTCACTGACGTTCCTTTATTGCCATAAACATGTATTTAAATACGTTCTACAAAAAAATGAATTACTATTGATATGATTTCACATGTACGAAAACTGATTGCAATGCACGAAGGTAACCCTCTAATGAATATCAGAGTGATAATATCGTAGGCCTTGATTTTATACTAAAACATATGTAAACATTGTACGTCAGTCGGGAAGCTGTGGTTTAGATATTAATATACAAATTAAAAAAAGAATAAATCTGAAACTTCTTTACTCAATTGTTGTCCTACACAGAACTTAACTTAATTCCTCACTTGAATACTGATGAAACACCCTTAGGATATGTAGCTTGCTTTTTAAATTTGTCTTTGGACGTATTATCTGTGATATGCAGGCTTCATAACCTCTGATCCGCTTTCAAAATTGCACATTTTTTTTAGTTCCGCCCATTGTTTTCTCGTTTAGGGCACATGCATTTTTTTTACTTGGGGACCATATGCCGTTTTTCATGGAATGGCACTTAGTGTCACATTGAAGGTTCCATGATAACCGCCATATGAACACATCTGCGGATGTTTCAAAATTTAAAATTGTACCAGTTCATTTTAAATGTTGAATTCTGCTTAAGCCGGTGCTAAGGGGCGTGGACGGTAGTTTGCACTTGACAGTACCGTCCATGAACAGGTTCAATCAAACCGAGCCTGCAACATTTTCAATTATGTTGTGTTGGACTTTCTTTAGGGATTCTTGCTTTCTCTATTTAATGAACAAATTCAACAGGTTGCTTTTATTCAGGTTTATATGCTACTTGCTCAGATTGTTTTTGTTATGATGCCTTTTGCCATATAGAAACATGTTAACTATAAATAAACAGAATAAATAAGAGAATAGTTATGTCAATTACAAAGAAAATTGCTAAATTGATCTCGTATTGTGACCAAACCAGGTCAGGGCATTTAGGGGTTAAATTCACGTATAGATGTGAATTTTAATGTTTAATAAATCTTGCATATGGCAAAAAAGAAAGTAAACTCATAGTATTAACAAGCCTTAGGGATAAGTGTACATACTTTACAAGCCTTAGGGTAAATTGTTTACAAGTATGTCAATACTTTAAGATAATGTGTCATCTTTACAGCATATTTAATTTATTCAATTTTATTTTTCTATTTCAAAGAATTCAATCTTGCATAAAAACTGAGCTCGCAGAAAAACATCAATGAAGGACAAAACGTTCATAAAAAGGATAGAATATTGTGACGAAGTGTCGTTGTTGAACATTAAAATACTATGATGAACATCAACTTACAGTGTTTAAAACGGAATGCAGAACAAGATAAATATACTAATTCTGAGCGGCTTCTTCAGCAGAAATGTTCTTGTCCTGTTCCGTGTCATGGTCAACACTTCGTATTTCTCATTGGCTGATGTAAAAAATTGAAACCTTTAAATGTTGACATGCATAATGCTATCGACGGATTCAGTAAAATATATTAAGGCTTCTTTAAACAAAATCAGTTTCGGGTGGGGTAGGCAGGGCTGGTTCCAACATTTATAAGCAGTGATTATCAATGACCTCCAATTACAAATATTGTTCAGATTAGGACATGCCGACGGTGATGCAGAAGAAAATGTAATTGTCCGCAGAAACATATGTTTTAACAGATAAATTATTGTTGTGGATTTATTCTTACATTTTAACTACAGAAATATCTCTCCACATAGCAAATTGTACTGAAAATACATCATTAACCTTTTATGTGAACAATCAAAATTTTGCAAACCGGCGCAGGTCAAAGATAAGACGGTTTGTGTTAACATAACGTGTTTTTGTTTTTAATGTACACTAAATTAAATACAAGTACCTAGCATGATTTTTTGCAAATCGTTGACTGGTGTATGCCAATGTAATATTTTTGCCAGCATACATCAAATTAAACGTGTTCTTAACCTTGTCAGAAAAGTTGCAATGAGCGAAGGTGTGTAGTACTTATGTATAAGATCATCTTTAATCACGAAACATGTTTGAACTTCAACAATATTTACCTTCACGAATTCCTTTGCCAAGTCAATATAACTGAATGTATATAATACAGAATCTTACAGTTCATGAACAGTTTGACATTTTACTTTTTTGTCAGCGCAATAATAAATAAGATTTGAGATTAAATTATGTTCACAAAAATCCTCTCTTTTTTCAGAATAAAAGTATTAACTAAAGAAGTTTGCCGAAAAGAAAATCACTGTTGCAATATGTGATGACAAATGAGTCAACAACAATTGCATTTCACATGCTTTGAGCTTACTCTCCTGTTGATCGGTCGGATGTTTCTTACCGTTCACTGAAGTAACAGGAATGTATACACTGAGCTACAAAAGCAGCATAGCCCTAGGCTTTACGCGTTGGTCAAATTTCATGAAACGTCAAAATCTTACTCAAATAGTTTCGTGAGTTGTCGATTGCAATCATCCATGCTTATTGATTAAGCATCATGTTTCGTATTAAAATGAATAATTATGTTAGTTAGTTATATTTCTAACAGCTACAAGTGAATTCCGGTTTAACTCATACAGTTGGCTCCGACAATGCTGCATAAGCGAAACGCCACAAGTCAGGGACCGCAAAACATTTTTTAATGAATGAAACAGGACGAACTAGGCGCAAGAATAATTCCCCTCTCCTTTTATTTTGCACGGGATAGTCAGTGTTTCAAACATGTAATCACCGTAGCACTATAAAGGAGACAATATACTAAAGATAAAGTTCCAAGGCTATAAATTTGCATACGCACTAGATTTTACTACTTCTTTTCCGTGACCTTGACATTTGATTCTTCGAAATGAATAACTACTTGGTCTTTAGTTAACAATTAAGTCTTTTCACAAATGACTATAATACAAGGGTCTTAAAACAATGAAACATCATTTTGACAAAATTTGGACACAGGTGTTTAAATTTTGATCAGAGGAGACGGTTTAAAAAGGAAACCAAGGGACTATTCAGAATTATTCAACCTGAAATCAGCCATTTTAATCTGTTGGCCAAGGCTTTTGTCGAAAATAAATCTCATAAGAAACACAATCCTAAGACCTACTGAATAGTGTTCAAATTTACAAAAGAATCCCATGACATTTAATGGCTGATTTCTTTTTAGAAAAATGCAAACTGTATTTTTGTTCTACATTTCTTTTTAAAACAAATCTTATTTAATCGTAAACAAAAGTGTTAGAGAGATAGAGGACATGGCCATAAAACCAAACAGGATACATGGTGAATACACTGGAATACTCTCTAGAAGACTTCACTTTTTTGTAAATGTTTATGGAATAATCAATGAGGAACAAGCAGGTTTTAAGGAAGGGTATTCTACTGTTGACAATGTGTTTATTTTGCAATCTATGGTAAGTAAACAGGTACAAAAATATCATGGTCAATTGTATGTAGGCATGATTGATTTTAAGAAAGCTTTTAATATGGTCAATAGATATAAGCTTTGGAAAGTTATGTGTAAAAATGGGATTAAAGGAAAATTATATAGGGCAATGAAATCTATTTATCATTCAGTTAAATCTTGTATTCGAACACCAGAAGGTATGACAAACTATTTTGATTGTTTCAATGGACTTAAGCAAGGCTGTTTGATTTTTCCAACACTTTTTATTATCTAAATTAAACATATATATTAATGAACTCATCATAAGTTTGAAAAATAGTGAAATAAAAGAAGTTCGGTTATTTCCAGAAAATCTCTCCATTTTGCAGATGAGTTAGCCCTTATAAATGAAACAGATGTAGGTTTACAAAGATTGCTTGATAAATTTATTTTTTTGTGTTGAAAGTGGCTTAGAGATAATATTGAAAAATCAAGATATTAGTATTTAAAAAGGGAGGTAGACTTTCTAATAAAGAAAAATGGTATTATGATGGTAAATTATTGGAACTTTCATATTTATGTTGTTGTCACATTGTCAAGACAAATGTCAATATTTAAAATGGCTGATAAACAAGATATTAAAGGAAAAAGAAATCTTATTTCTATTTTATCAAATTTATACAAATATGGTAAGCATAAAATATATATATTTGATACTAAAATAGTTCCAATATTATGCTATTGATCTGAACTGTGGGGGTCAATTGAACATGAAGGTATAGAATTCTGGAAACAAAGTGATCCCTCGGAAGCATTAATCACAACAAAATTACACGAGAATTGCAGACTCGGTTTGATTGAGTCTGTACATGAGGGATAATGAATAAGTGCTACAACCGTATATAATTATGTTTGTAAAAGATACATGTGTGTTAAACAATCAACTGCAAATGCATCAGTTTTAGGAGATTGTGGCCTTTTTCCATTGTACATAACTACTGCATCAATAATTTAAGTATATTGGTTTAAGATATTAAGCTTACCTTATGATCGATATGTGAAACAATGTTGTTATATGTTACTTATATATGATAGGAATGAAAAGAAAAAATGGGCTTCTAACATTAAACAGCTACTATATACAAATGGTTTTGGATATGTTTGGAATAACCAGGCAGTTGATGATAAGAAATTGTTCCTACAAAAGGTTTGTAGATAGAATGAGAGATCAATATAGGTAGAACTGGCAAGAAAAAAATTAAATCAAAGTAAAAAGTAGATTCATATCGTTTGTATAAATCTGAATTAATACATGAGACATATTTATCTGCTGTTTTAATTCGTAAATTGAGAAATGCACTTGCAAAATTACGTACTTCATCACATGATTAAAATATAGAAAGAGGTAGATATAGACAAGAAGAGAGATCTGAGCGTATATGTAATCTATGTAAAGTTTCAGTAGAAACAGAATTCATTTTGTAATGATATGTACGGCTTATTAAAATTTAAGATCAAAATACTTACCAAGCAAATATTTTGTTAATCCAAATATTCATACAAAAGTAATTTAAAGAGTTGTCAGACTGAAAATATTATAGCTAATATTGCAATAAGTTTGTATTTCATGCCTTTGAAGAAAGAAAAAGATTATTAAGTAAATATGATAAGGTACACCTTTAAATGGTAACAAGGTTGTGTTTAAACATAATGCTACTTGTACTATATTCCATTGTTTGTAAATGTATTGATATGTATATGTTGTTTTGGGCTAGAAGCCTTGAATCAATAATTTCTTTGTCATTGTCACTGACCTAGATCTAGATAATTGAACATCAAACTACGTAGCTCAAATAATGTGCAGTATTTTAAGAATAAATACGATATAATAAAGTAAAAATCAAATTTCAAAACGTTTTCCTGAATTCTAAAGATGTGCCATGATAGCAAGTCAATATGACGTCACAAGTTCCGGACTGTTATGACCATTAAAATAATGAACCCTTGATGCTCAAATCTTAAACACGAAGTAAAATTGTAAAGTTTGATACCTAAAATAAATAATCAAGAATTCACGAAATTGAAACCATGGAGTTCGTGAAGTTAAAATTATGATTTTCTGAGGTACAAGTCAATGAAGTTGAATCGGTGAATTATAACGCAATACTTTACAAATGTTTTAACAAATATTGTTAAATGCACCATTTTTGTTTTTAACATGAAATGGAATGACCTTACATTTCCAACATGGAATCAATATATAGAGGTGTACGATCATAAGCAGCAAGAATGGGTCCTTATAAGCCGAATCCATTGAAATGGATCAGCATTCGAAGTGCATAACGTCCTATTGTCCATACGGTTAACCCCGTTACACAGGCAACTGAATTGCAAAGTCGGAGGTTAAACGTAACAAGGTTCAAATAAACAGGTCAGCGTAAGATATTCTAATCATGAACCATTATCAGTAAGAACATATATTACATAACTTCCCAAAGACATTGTACGCTGCGACTCAAAGGGTCATTTTGAACACAGATACGAGTGATGCTCATCTGTTAACAATGTCTTTGTATCGAAATTGTATTTATTGTTAGGGAACATGTTGTTTTAATGCAATCAAATATTTGTTGTTGTAATTGTAGCGTAAGGAATACTTCTTGTACAATGGACGGATACAGAATTTTTTATTAAAAAAAATTATCAAAAGGGAAAAACAATGAAAAGTTTTTTAGAAGAATTCAATCCACGTCAGATGAGGTACAATGGTTGCATAGTAAGATGACAAAATGGAAAAAAATCAAACAAGAACAATGCCCAAGCTTGACAAAATTAATGAATTATCAGTGTAATAGTCATAAACCTATTTGACAGAATCGCATGAAACAGGAAAAACAATATATATATGGTTTTGTTTTGTTAATGAAATTAAGATTGACTTAATTGAATACGGTTATTCTAATAATATTCTGGTAATACTTTCATTTACTTGATGAAATGTACATGAACGACGACTTGTATCTTTTGATTAAAAAAAAACTTAGATCATTCTAGGATTTTAAATTTCGTTCCTATCCTAAAATTTCAAAATTCATCAATTAGAATTGAAACAGCAGAACAATCAAATGCAACAATTGATTTATAGATTCATGGGTAAGCTTAAATATATCAATCAAAACTGGCATATCCAAATTTTGATAAAGAAATGACTTTACTGATACCAATGATCAGTTAAACACGTTAAAAGTTTATTGATTCGAATTTCTGCACAGAAAAATGATGTGATTCTCATTCTAAATAATAATTGTTTCAGGTTAGCAACACCAAAACAAAAGTATCGTTGAACCAAAGGTGTATTGAAAATACTGGTCGCATTTACTGGCATTTTTATCATTCAACATTCATTTAGCTTGCACGCTTTTTCTTCTTCTGTGATTTAAGCAAATGAAGCAATTTTGTTTCGCATAAAAACGTTTGTATTAGCCTTGCTAGACTACAACTCATTTAAAATGTTACATTTCTTTATTTATTTTAATTATCTATGCATTTATTTTGTGCAAATCTGCTTCCTTATTCGTCTCAGTACACGGCGCGGGATTGTTTGCGACACAATAGTTTCATTGAAGAAATATGGACAAATGCCTTTAGTCATCTATTGTAAGAAAGTCGATTCAGATATAAACGATGAATAATTTTAACTTCCTTGATAATTGTTAATCAGTCTTTATTTCCTCTTTATCGAATTGTTATACACATATTTTGTATAAATGATTTCAATGTGCATTATTAATCTTGATTACAATCGCATCGTATCATTTCCAAACAATCTATACTAGTAATTCTCTTGTTTGTGTGGATAGTTTTCAGATCATTACAAAATGGTTAAATACTAATTACTTGAAAAGTCTCTGTCAGGATCAGAGTATTATAAGTTATTGTTGTTTACTTAAATGCAAGTGAGTATTTATTGTCTTTACAATTTTTTATTAGAAATCCTTATAACGAATTGTGGTTTATATTCTATGACAATATATGTAGTCAAAGGATTTATCTCTTTCTCGTCATGTGTTCAATTTATCTCTCAAATAAGAACCTAAGCCGTAACCAACTATTTTGAAAATTGCAGGTTGACAAAAATATGCTGTGGCAAGCACTATTACTTTTTGGTGGAGCAAAGTGTAAGTTGTTTTTTTTCTTTGTTTTTGTTATGTATGATAATACAATCCTTACTCTGTATAATTTCCAGATAAAAGTCAATATCTGATTTACTGTTAAGTCCTTTTAAAAAGGCTAAAATATTCCTTAAAAATATGTTACATACATTTATAAACGCAATCATTGAAACTCATGCAAGGCTTGTTCTGTAGTACATTGTCTTTACGAGAAGCAACGACAATAATTGAATTTTACTTTTAAGTTTGCTTTATTACATTATAAATGAAGATTCATCAAAATTGTTATAATATAATTGGCTGGGTAAAACAGTAAAATAACATCTTATTTACACAATGATTTAACATTATAATAAACACTGTAGTGAAGTAAGCATAATTAAGCCATTATACGTTATATACAATATGTTCAAGAAAGGTGGTGCAAAAGCAAGAGACATATATAATATAAAAATATGTTGATATTTTTTACAAAGATTAATATTTCCGCTAAAGCGATGCAATACGTTGTTTGAGATTAAGTGTAAATATGATGTTTCATTGTACAATTATTTTCTTGAATCTGTTGCTGCTCGCATTTTGTATAAATTCATTGTAAATGTAAATGTAAAATCATTAAAAGATAGCAAATGTTTTATGATAATGTGAGGTTTTGGGGAAATTTACATCAGTTTTTGGGAAGGCACTTTCGGAATGCGTAATGTGTATTTTTTTAGTGAAGACTGAAGGGAGTTATGTTGATTTATTCTATTCAGAAGTGTGAAGTTGAAAGTTGCCGCATTGTTTCTACAATGTGTGTGCCTGAAAAGAGACATTGTAGATATATTGACCGTACTGTTATCTTAGAACAGATTATAGCAATGGTTTACTGTGGCGGTTTACAGGCCAGAAATACTACCGTGATTTTTGCTTACCACCGACATTTACAAATTAAAACATGTGTTTGATCTCAAACATCACACATGCTATCAGTAAAGGTTATAATTTTCAGAGAAACGCTTGGTTTAAATGTTTTCTAAATTTCAAAATCACTACTTACGCTTGATGCGGCGGTAATTGGTTATTCATCGGTAATAAATAGTTCTGTTATATTAACCCTTATACTTTTGACTAAAAATCGGGAAAATTAAAAACATAGACATGAGTGTAAAGTAGTCAATAAATATTTAAAATATTTGGCAACATACTGTTATATCTTTATTTTTGAAAACATTTTTTTAATTACTACGTAGCGACCAACTTTACTAGACAGGTCATAATCTCTTCCTCATTTTGAACAACGTAGTCTCAATATCATGAATATTTTCACACTGGCATGTCCATTCTTTATGATAAACAGTTAATAGTCCTTAAAATATTTTTTTAGAAAATATTTGCTCAAATTATCTGTTAAACGTTCGCTGACATATGTCTCTCTACTTTTCTTTCAAACTTATTAGTACACCCCAGTAGGCTGTACGCGAAAAACGCACACAATGTCGCTATGTCATATAGATGATAGTAAATACTTCGGATATATTAAGTTTAGAATTCACTGATGACAAGGAACATATAGTTTGAAAACATTCTTTTCTTGAACCATTGTCGCCGAAAACAAATTCACTTTAATTTGCCCTCCTTCAACATTTCAGCACCAAAATACATTCACTCTAGAAAAATTATAAACAATACTTATATTTTCATCCCACATTTATCAATCAATGTTAGAAAAAAGCGTTGTTTTTTTTCTCAATAATTACGTCTAGCAATTATACAACCAGTTGTTTACTAAATAAGTACCACGCTCATTTGAATCCCAATAGAAATATTTAAATATTTGGAGAAAAAAAGATCATGACCCAAAGTACCTAGTAGTCGTTAACCCGATTTTGATCTCATTAACTGATAATAGTTTCGAATTGATTAGACAACACGAATAAAAACATGTGTTTCGTTACAATAAGAATAATCGGAAGTAGCTGACAGTTTAATGACAGAAAGTCAGATCCTTTTGTCTACAGTGGTCAAATAAGTTTTTTTACCTGCACAGAACAAGGAAATAATTATTTCAGAGAAAGACGCAAAAATCAGTTTTAAATTAAATGAATGACCCCGAATTGTGTATTCAGATAGTTTTGAAGTTTATTAAAATCTAGGGCAACGCATCATATGTTGATAGTCCATATGCAATTTTCGCTACAGATTGATAAAAGAGAAATAATAAGTCAGCAGGTATGACTTCCATCACGGCTTTAAAGGCGTAAAGATTTTACGAAAAAAGATTTTACGAAACTTTAATTTGAAAACGATATTTGCCACCGAGGTGTTTAAAATAATCGGCGGCATAAGAGAAAATTCGTATTCATTTTACAGCACTTGATAAATTGCCAAAGAAAATTGTTTTACCTTCCTTTACAACAAAAACTTCCAATACACGCTATTTATAATACAATTTTTAGAACTGCCGCTTCGATGTTCTCATCTATTTGCGAAAATCGTGAGACGTTCATGATTGATAGGGATAACACTAGTAATAACTCGAAAGAGTGGCGGAAACTACAGATCGCAAACCCTTTTCTATTTTCCGAGTTAACAAGGGATTTCTCGCAGTACATATTAGTTTAAACATGTCATATTTCGATAATTGGCTGAGTGTTTGCAGTGTAAAAAGAAAAACAAAAACACACACCAATAAACAACAACGTTGACATGTCCAGAGTTTATAAGTGTGGTGCATAAAAAACATAAGACTCTCTGATCAATTTTTACTTATTCCATTTTGAATAAGCTTCGACGATATGTATTTTTTAAAGAAATATTTAGCTTAAGCCGCCAAAGGCAGCGACGTTTAATGACAATTACATTTCAAATGGGCATACCAATTTGAATTATCAATTATACCATTTTCTGGATTTCATTCAAGGTTTGCTTTTAGGGAACACAACTTTCTGTCCGTAGAGCATGAATATAAATGCTCATCACAAAACAGTATTTAATTGATCTCAATAAAATATGTTATATGTGAACATATTTATGGTAAATTGTTGCATAACATGCGGTTGTTGTGATCGTTTAATGATAAATGACATAAAGTATTAATGCTAAATTGATGAACTGTGACAAGGAACCGTCAGTTAGTAAAATGGCAGTGTGATCTTATAATGCACAGTCGTCATACCTTGGATGATGATCTAGTTGGCATTTCATTTAATATTGACTGTTTAGGTCGTTAAAATTTGCGTAATTTACAGTCCGAATGTAGTTATTTAAACAAATGAATCTGAAATATTTACAAAATGATAAGTCATCCTAACCACATGAATACATATACACAACAGTAATGATAAATGGCGCAAAGGACAGATCTTTTAATTTAGATATTTATAGTTACAGCACATTTTAAATAGGAAAGAAACTGTAAGTCTGAAACATTCTGCCTACAACTCTGATCATAGCCTTCCCATCAGTACATTCAGTGCTTTGATTAATTAAAGAACCTTTCAAAGGAAATTATGTGTCTTCCTAATGTAGCAACAGGTGTTTTCCCGGATAAATTTTCGCATTTTTGAAGAAATTCAAGGGAGTTTTCCTTTCCTTTAAAATAATGAATTGTTCTTGAAGGTTGACCCAAGCTTTAGCCGTACTTGTACATTAAACCTATCCTTTGTTAATATTAGGTTGCTCTGGAAAGTTACTCATAAAATTGCACTACAGCCGTATAAAGCTGCTACCGATAAGCACTATAAACGCTTTGCCTAAGATTTTACTACACAAATACATGTAATCTAATCAAAGGATGACCTACATACGGTCAAATCTGGTTAACCGATTAAATATATTCAGGAATAAACTTTGCTGATAACGTGAATCAGTTTATGAATATATAAAAAGTTTAAACGTTCAAATATCGCAATTACGCGATTAGAATGTTAAAGGCAAATTACTACTAAAAATCCATATTTTAATGCTTTAGAACTATCAAACATGTGTTTAAAATTGTCTATTGGTGCTGTGGATATGCAGAAATGTGTCAAAATGTAAGCAAAATTTTAGTATTTTGACTTTCATACAAAGTACTCATTCACTGTGATTATACCAGCTGTTGACAACAGACCAATCTACACAATTGTGTGTGTGTGTATATATATATTTTAATATATATATCATTTTAATTGTGTAATTTAGTGTGTGTAACACGAAAATTTCCCAAGAAATCTCAAAAGTTTGTAACTGTTACGCCAATGGAAGCAACTCAATAAACATTCTTAATTTGCATCTTTCACACATTTTATCTTTCAATTATCTGCAATTACTTAAAATGCAGAAACTTAAATTATAAATGATCAAATACTTAAAATGAAATTGTGTTAAATCTCATAATGGCTATTGATTATTTTCTCTCAATTTGTTGAAAAACCTTTTTCTGAATATTCTCTTATTGTAGCCTTTTAAAATATACACATTTTATCTTCGTATCTACTTTATTTCTAACTATGCTGCTTGTGAATTTTGTTTTGCCCTGCATGTTTATAAAGTGTCTATTACCGTATCAATATACTCTTAAATTGATTTTACAGGTCTGGTTCTAGACAATCCAACTATAACACCTGATTTTATTAACGCACTGGCTAACAGCAGCTTTGAATTGACGTGTTATACTCGTCAAAATGCATCGTTTACGCAATGGGGTACTGTGAAAAGGCGAGACAAATTTTCACTTTTGTATTACTCTCGGGAGGGATCATGTACACCTGATGGTTTCCTTGAAGATAGTCAATATTTCGAAACGAGTTGTTACAGCAATGGTACTTTTAAAGTTAAAATAAAACAGGTTAATATCAGTTACCATGGTCAAAGGTGGTATTGTTCTTACGGTTATGGATCAAGTAACTTTGCAAACATTACTGTTCGAGGTAAGAATGATGATTTACAATATATTAGGAGCATTATACATATTAAGATGTTGAAAGGTTTTGGCTTTGTATATTTGGAATATGAATAATCTTTGTCACACTAAATATAATCTGGCCCTTGTATGAAAGGCGTGTTGATACTGACTTTTAATCAAAGGTTCAAACCATATTTAAAGTCACACCGTCAGGGTTGAGGAAATATTGCAACTCACCTGTTTGCTCTGCATTGTCGCGGTGAATAAGAACATTAATTGTACATCGCTTACTAATTTTATTACATAGTTAAATATTTCTGCTTCATTTTGTTGAAAATAATCATGGTTTATATAAAGTTTAGGTAACAAGCATCGAGAAGAACTGAGCATGCATACATTTTCGGAAAATATTTATTATACAAAAATTGTGCGGTTAGACGCAGTGTAAACATTGCATTGTTAATGTTAATCATACATGAAAACGCTGTACCTTATCAATACGGTAATATTTAAAATTATATGATGATCAATTTACATTTTTAGTCGTATGTACCTGCACATTATTCAAATGATCAATATTTTATGGTACAAGTTATGCATACTTCTATTTCAGTTCCTGCAGACCACGTTACCATTGAAATTTCTTCAAACAAAAACATTTACATAACGGAAAATGAAATGCAAACTGTAAGTTGTAATACATCGGCATGTTTTCCAAAACCGAGAGTTAAATGGTACCTTAAAAATCCTACTAACAATTTGACAAAAGATATAACAGATCATTCGTCGCAATCATATTTCTTTAGAAAAGACGGGTTAATTTCAGCTGAAAGTATTCTTCAAGTTCTTCTTAATAGGACAGTTAACAGCTGGCATCTGTATTGCAAAGTATGGACACGAGCGAAATATGCTGACATTTCAAGCAGAGCAATTTTACTAAATGTGGCTTGTACGTATACAATCTGTATTCAAAATATTACAAAACTTTTCCGTATTAAGAGATGATAACAGTATGAATAATAGTATAATGATATATTGTTATAATAATCATTATGATCAATTAACTATGATCGTCATTTTTTCATAAATATCATTGTTTCCGTTTAGCTTGACGTGGATTTAAAGCGAAATCACTACTTGAAATTTTTAAGCATTTGAACAAATTATTTCATTTTAATACCTGTAGATCCACCTGACGGTCCTCCAATTATAGTTGACAATGAAATCGGGAAGACAGTTCAGGTTATCGAAGCAGAATCAGTTAACTTAAACTGTACCATTACCGGAGGCAACCCTTTAGCTATCCTTAGAATAAACTGTTTCAACAGTAGTTCAACTACAATGATTTCAACAGAAACGACGGTGTCTGTATACATTGTATGGAAAGCAATTCGTTATCTAAATAAATGCAAATGTGAGTCGGATCATATCATAGGTGGTACTCAAATCACAACCGTCAGGTTTGATGTCAGGTGTAAGTGATGATGTTTCATTATGATATACAGCTTAATTAGCAAGCAGTATTGAATTAAGATTTTTTATTATAACTTTGCAGTTGTTTATTGTCAGTATTTTGACAATTGTTTTATTTCATAGTTGTAATACATAGCGACATTCTTAAAACAACTGTGCAATTCTTTAACTTTGCATGTTGGTAAGTCGTTGATGTTCTCTCCGTACGCGTCGTAGACAGGCTTGTGATAACTTGAATCGTAGACTGATTGATTAGAAGATTAATAGCTTCGGCTCATGACTGGATTAGAAAACAAAATTGCCGGAAAAGGTGCGTGCAATAAGTTCCGATATATCCTGTTTGTTATATCTCTATGTCATGTTCCAAATTCCATCTGAGAGCTACAGTGCTATTTGAAGGGACAATTCTTGTTCTTATGTGTATGTATATATATGCTCTATTGATATTTTGATATTTCAGTTCCTCCAAGTATTGTTTACTTCAGCAAATTAGGAATTAAATCGAAAAGAGGAACGTTTGCTGTAGAACGAAATGGGGAAGTGACTATCGAGTGTTTGGCTGAGTCTAATCCTTTACCAGACATAATGCTCACAAATCAGAGAGATGAACAAGTTGCAATAGTAGAAAATGCCACATTTCTTCAATATTCCATATTTAAAGTGTCCTGCACTGATGCCGGGGAATATAAATGTTCAGCTAAAAATGTGTTAACAACAGAACACGTAATACTATCCAATCTGTTCATCATCGTTAAATGTAATAGTCTCTTAATCCTTCATCTCAATTAACCAGAGTATCTCAATACATATATATGATTATTTGAAAAATAAATGGTATGGTTAATTAATTTGTTAGAAATGGCCGTTGTACTACCACTTGATTGATGGAAAACCGAATTCATGAGCTAGAAAATAGGATTTGTAAAGTTGGAACGACACCGAAGTTTATACTTAATTAATATAACAAAATGCGTATTAAAATCAGCATTACAGCCATCATATCATGGGAATAAAAGCAATAAAGTTCTGGTTTGTATAGACCATTACATTAACATCAGATTGTACAGAGAAACTCATCGATGATCCTTTTCTTTCAGGTCCTCCTCGTCCGTCAATTCATAACTTCAATCAAAGGAACATAACAGCGCAACTGAATTCTGACGTCACGTTGCTATTCTTAGCTCAAAGTTACTTTGACGAGCAAAACAAAACTGTATTCTCATGGCACAGAAAGAACATGTCATTACAAAATAATGGCAGTAAATATATTATATCATCGTTTGGATTACAGTCTAACTTAATCATCAGAAACATTTCTCAGTCAGATTATGGACAGTATAATGTTTTGGTCAGAAATTCAATCGGGTATTACAGGCACTACTATGAATTACAGAGAAATGGTAATGACATATATTTGTAAATATGTAAAAATATTTTTTTTAGATATTGATCGACTTTTGCATCGAAGAAAATTTTTCGAGTTTGATGCTACCTAAGAAAATAGAACAAAACTAAACAAAAAAAAAACCACAACAAAAACACCACCAACAACAGCAACATCAACAAAAAACAAGAAAAAAACAACAATACAAAAAAACATCCATTTATTATTTCTGTTCAATCCGTTTACGTTAAGAAAAATAAGGGAATAATTATTAATATAAATTTATTTTGTGTTTCGTTCCTTATAAAACAGCGAAGGAACAGTCAACTGATCCTACCAGTATATGGACATTAATTTATGTGTCAGTTGGTACGTTTTTCGGTACAATCCTAGCTGTTGTCTTGGCATTCATCTGTAGAAGATTTATCAGGTATTTAAAGATATGACAATTGTAGTAGATATATAAGTAATAAGCAGACATATCTAAACGAATAGGGAAATAAGCATAATTGAATCTAGTAATCATCTATTATTTATTTATCAAATGAAAGTGGTAGACTGTTCAACATTTCGTCTCTGAATGATCATATATTTCGTTCAAACATTTAAATATCCTGTTATACATGCTTTAGGAACAATATATTTTCGCACGTGAAACTTTTCGACACAGCGCCCTTTAAAACCTTTTGTTTCATTTCAGAAGTAAAAAAATACCGAAACAAAACAATATACAAACAACTGGTAAGTGCTTGTACTATAATAAAAAAATGACCCCCCCCCCAAAAAAAAAAAAAAAAAAAAAAAAACAACAACAAAAAACAACAACAAAAAAAAAAAAACACACCTAAAGGATCAATACCTTTACAAAAAAAATTGCCGAGTAAAATAATACAATAAACAGAAACAAGTAACATATTCATATTGGATTTGAACTCGTTTTTTTTAATGAACACGCTGGATACTCATCGTTGTCATTTGGCATGCGCTGCTATTTCACTTGGCGACAATCTGATAAGAAATTAGATTACACATTGTATACGTATTAAAACAATAAAAAGCCCGATCCTTTAGAATTAACTGTCGTTTTATATCCTTTTGATAAAAAATAAAAATACATGAAAAGTTTAAATAAACAGCAGAATTGTAACGATAAATCGTTATTGTTTAAAAACATTTTTTTAAGTGTCGATCCCTGACAGCCAGCAAGCATATAACCTCGGTGAATATGATGAAATTCACGAGTATGGACATGTTGATGATCATGAGGAAAGTGCATGCATAGAAATGCAAAATATCAAAGCAGATGATGATCCAAATCGTGACTATATAAGCCCAACACCTTAGATCTTCACATTGGAGTGAGATTGTTTATTGCAAACAAAATAATTGTGTGACTACAACTTGTATTTCTTTAATTATTTTACTGTTTCATTATCTTTCATTAAAAGAAAAAAAAAAACATTTCTGTACTGTATGTCGTCATCTTTGAGCAAAAGGTCTTTTAACTGACATTGTTTGAGAAAATTACTTTTTGCCAGTATTTGGTTAGAAATACAAAGTTTCACAAGTCTCTGAGGTTTAGAAGCTGAATTTTGATAGGAAATGGCGTTTTTGGAAAAAAAACTTAAGTGCAGTTTCAGGATTTTTAGGTGAAAAACTACAGTAATTTCACTTACAGGAGTTTTTGTGATAAAAAGAAAATTATTTGATGCAAAAAGTATTGTAATTACGGTAACTGCATTGAAATACTTCAATAATGCAATTATATATAGCAAACATATTTTTTAAAAAAACCTTTCATGGATTATCTACCGTAGCATATTAACGAAAAACGTTTTCATGTTTTTTTTTAATTATATTTTTCTATTTGTTAATATTTTTTTAAATCTCTGTTTGTCACCAATGACAAAAAATAATATAACCAGGGATTTTCCACTATTCAAATTTTGTTGATATTTTTAAAAGATTCAGTTACACATGTAATATGAATTTATACAATTATTTATTTACTACACCCATAAAGACTTTCTATATGAACTACGTAATTATAAATAACCGAGGTATATCGAGTGAAAAAATACGAGTTGTTTCCCTTATCTTCGAGTAAAATTGCTAAAACAATACAAATAAAGCCTTTTTTAAACCGCTAGTTTGTTGTGATTTAATGTCCGATTCCAAACATTATTATACCAATGGAAAGCTTTAGATCATAGCTTTGTCACAGTATATGTATATACTTCAACACAACTTTAAACATCAAAGTATTTGAGTTAACTGTTAAACCTACCACATGTCAGACCATTTTACATGCACGATACGCAACCGGTTCTCTTTACTCGAAAAACTACTGATAAGGAAAGCCTGTCGTCTGCTTGTTCGGAAAGTGTTTATCGGCGTATTATTTATTATGAAAATAAAAATAGAACTTGCTTGGTAGCATTCTTATAACATAATATAAGGACAACTGTATTATAAAATGTAACTGCAGTTTCTCTGTTTATAGCCTTGGTAACCATCAGGCTAATTGCTACATTTTAAATGAAGTAGATGCTAACATGGGTTTATCTTGTCTTTTTAATTACTATAAAAAAGCATAGCAAACAAAAGAATGCAATCTATTTTAATAAAGTGTTCAAAACCATAACTGCTGGTATGCTACGTCTGATGTGGACATATACACCACATACATTTAAAGAATGGGGTCATACCAAAATGAGAATAAAACGGTGTTTCCTGTTTGTCATGCATACACCCAATACACCTTAATTGATAGAAGATCACTTTCTTCAACAATTGTACAAAATGGAACATAGACCTAAACCAAATTATGTCACAGAATTTACTCTGGATTTTTTCCTCTTTTCACCTATAGAATCAAATTAAGATTGGATACTAGCTGATACGCTGTGTAAGATTACAAGTTTGGTGGCGTGAAATCAGACAAATTGAATTCAATATATTAAAGTCTTGAAAAGAAGAAGCAATGGAATCAAAATTATATACATTATATATGAGAATTGAAGACTCATATTTTATTGAAAGATGATATAAAAAAGTGCAACATTTGACATCGTTATAAAGTTTCATGTGAAAAACTTGTAAGAATCTTGTGTTTAGTTATGCTTGGAATCGCACTGGGGATATATTGATATAATCTCACTTGTTTATTCGGGTCGTATGTCATTGCCGGCATTGTTTGCATTTTGCATATACCGATAAACGCTCCTTTTGTTAATTCGAGAGACTGACAACTATAAATCAAGCCAGAATTGTAAGGAGTAATGATTTATTTCATTGATTGTTTACATATTTTCTTATAATCAGCGTGCATTTGGCTAGAAGGTGGCATTTGTCGTAATTTTACTCGATAAACTTTGACAGGTGTTGTTGTTGTTCGCTGATGCATTATGGGTTGTGTGACTTCCGTTGTCCATAGCAATTACTGCCTAAACACCGTTTCAAAGTTATGTTTCATCAAAAGCAACAAACTTATAGTCAATCCTTGGTACTGGTCGTTTTTGTAAATATTATATGTATCAATTTATCGTATTTTTATGTGTTTCATAGAACCTTAGCTAAGAATTGTTGATGTTCAGACGTTCGGTTGGTTGACAGCGTTCTTTGTGTATGGAATTGATCGTTTCCGAACGTCAAATGTTCAGTTTTCGAACGTCGAACATTGTCAACCGACCAAAACGTACAGTTGAACATTTTTCGAACCTTTTCATGTTCGTTTTCTCAGATTTGGTATAAATAGGCCAGAAAACGATCAACTTCAGTCAGTTTTCATTTAACTTTCGGTTAGTCTACATTATTGTCGTGTTCTTCTGAACGGCAAATTTTACTTATTTTTAAGGCAAAATAAAACATAGTCTTTAGATTATTATTTTACATTTAATCAATTATTGTCTAAGAATAATTGATAAGAACTTTATAATTTTTGTTTCACATTAATACGGTCACTGACTCGACCAAACTTTATATTTACGTTGTCATATTTTTGAATAGAAATTAAACGGCAGTCGCGGTAATAATTTATGTGAAGTCTATGTAAGACATAGCTATCGGATATTTAAGACTGAATTATATACATGTGTTAATGTTATTTACAATATACTGTTATTTGAATATTTGACAATTGAATTTATTAACAGTTTAACACTAATTAAAATTAGTAAACTATGAACAGTCTTTCTTCTTTGTGACTCAATTTTATTTAATCTTAAACTGGCGTACCTCCAGAAGTAAGGAAGTGTTATCAAGTACTGTGGAGTACAGTGTCCTAGTCATACAGAGTAGCCCACTATTGACAGATGTCGTAATAGCATATTTCAGCTAAATAGATCTATATAGACTTTGACAGTTGTCTGAAACAAGTATCATCAGTCCCTCTAACAATTTCTATTATATATAGAACATTGTTATATTTGTGATCGTTTCATTGTTCGTAAATACAATATCGTTCTCTACAGTCCAGTCCGATTATTGGTCACCAAGTC